AGCGCTTGAGCGAGTCAGCACGTGGTAGCCATCGTGGATTGCGATTTCGTTCTCCCCCTGTTAGGGGGATTTTGCCCAGAATAGGCTTTCGGCCTGTTGGAACCGACAGAACAGACGAGAAAGCTAACTCCTCGTCTATTCCACATTTCTTATCATCCAACGCGCTTGACTAGTTGCGGCCTGTTTATTATATACTACGTGTGCCTACAGGTGAGTCAGTAGCGTAAATTATGAACAGATGCTCGCTTTCACTGTTTGGTAGACGGCTCCCTGTCTGTGTAAAAAAACTCATTTTATCGAGTAAACTATGACGTGGGGATGCTGTGTAACTGTATTAGGTGAGTCAACCCTCATTCTTGAAAAGCCAACTTCTCAGTTTAGTAAATAACATGTTGTAGCTTTTTACTTTCTTCTCTATAAATTAATCTCTGAATTGTAGTAAATGGGTATAATCAAGAGTCTCTGACTAAACTTTAATAGGAATATTTGCCCTGAAGTCCATCAGACACTGCGGGCTAACCGCGTAATATTCGCAAGCTGCTAACGGGCAGTCAGTTTTAGGTTGATTTCTGAGGAAATTGAAAAGCTAAAAATGAAAAAAACTAGTGTATCTACCAGAAGGCACTGAGGGAACGCTGGTGGACTCATTAATGAATCGAGCCCCTCGCAAGTGTGCCACGCAGCGGCAGAATACCGACGATACAGGTGTCTGAGCTTTTAGTCAGCATCTGTGCTGCCAGTGTGACAAAAAATGCCGAAAATAACATTTGGATATTTGGGTCTGAATTTGCTCATCGCTAATCAAGGCATCTTATTTAACCTAACCATAACCCTGTCATACCTCCTTCGCAGGTTTACCATGCTACCCTACTGACTTTTTTCTGTATTGTAATTTATTACTGTGCTAATTCTTGGTGGCAGCCAAAACTGTCTAAGGGAGACCATCTACGTGGCTTTCGCTCGAATGTGTTTTTCAGCAGTTTTCTGCTGTATGTTTGTCAGCACTAGCCTCATCTGCCATGTTGAAGGTTGTTATAACGTTTTTAGCAGGCTTCTCCTATACGTGATTTGAGCTCTCATGGCTAGAACAGATCAAGATTTGTCGCCGCGTGCGGCTTTACACT